GGACCTCGGCAGAGAGGCCGCTGCTTCTACACAGAGAGCAAGGGTCCAATTCTGCTGCATGCTGGCAGGGCACGGGCTTTTCTACTCAGGCTGTGGCTGCTTTATAAAGAAAATGAACTGTAAGACGCCGTTTGTTGCGATGCCGCTGGAATTCAGTTACCTGTAGGTAGGCAAACTCCGGGCCTCCAGCTGTGGTGCAACTACAAATCCCTTTAGGCATTGCAAGCCACTGGCATGTCTCTCAGAGGCAGATGCATCATGGGATTGGTAGTTTCGTCACGGCCGGAGTTCACCTACCCCTGCTTTACAGCCAAGACAGGAGCCATCTCGGTCTCTATTGGGATTGCAGTTGCCATGGTGCTGCACATGCGATCAGCTATGACGCCGGCCATTTGAGGGATTGAAAGTTTGGTTGAGAGCCTAAATAATCGCACTACCAAACTTGACAGTCATTGTGCCTTTAAAAGTAACCGTATTGGGAGACGTTACATTGGTGGGTCACGTCCCTCTTGTTTTGCAGTCAAATTTAAGAAAACTCTGTTTGTGTTCCCAGTCACACAGCATACCTAAAAATAATAAACAATATAGGGACAGGAATCCCTGGCTGTCCTCTTAGAAGACCGGGGACACTCTGAGCTTCCTCTCATTAATATACAATTACCAGATTCTGTGCTCCAATCCGTCCCCAAAGCCACTCCCCTGCTCCTCCCTCCAGCTGACGATTGACAGCGGCTGGAGTCTACGCTGTCCCTGCATGTGAAGGGCACAAGGAGCGCGCTCTCCACTATCTGGATGTTTAAGAGAAGCAGCGCTGTGGACCTGGAGCCGCTGGCGGTGAGCAGGTAGGAGATGTCATTTTTTTGAAAAAAAAATATTCTGCGTACTGTTGCTCTGCTTGACGTTACCCATTAGGCGGAGGGTTTAAAGGAGAACTATGGGGTCAGGGCTTTTCCCCATAGTTCTAAGGGTAACGGGAGGACACAAACTAGCGTCCTCCCGTCACCCAAAGCTCAGTATATAGGCAGCTGTAGCTCATTATATACTGAGACGCTGGGGTGGATCCTGACATTACTTTCTGGATCCACCCAGCTGCGTGAGTGACAGCTGGCTCTGCCTATCTAGAGGCAGAGCCAGCTGTACCCGCCCCCTCCCCCGTCCGTTCCGCCAGTCAGCGCTCGAGGGGGAGGAATCCAGCCCCTCCCCTGTCACGGCTCTCTGCTGTGACGGGATCGAGAGGTGAGCGAGCGCCGGTATGTGTTCTCTCTCTTCCCGATCTACTGAGCCGACCTGTGACAGTCTCATTGAACTAGAAGCTAGAACTATGAGGATGAGTGAAACCCCCCCCCTCATAGTTCTCCTTTTAAAAAGTGACAGGTATTTTCAGTTGAGTTCAATGAGATTTGGAAGTTTTCATTTAAGTGGCTGAAATAAAGTGTTTTTCCACCTTTTGCAGTCACATTGGGATAACATTTATTTTATATCTGTCACGTGTTTCTCATTCACTTAGCATAAGTTATTTTTTTTAAAGGAGAAGTATGAGGCGAGTGATTTTCACTCATCCTCATAGTTCGAGCCGACGTGCGACAATGAAACTGTCACACGTCGGCTCAATAGATCGGGAAGTGAACGAGCGCATACCGCCGCTCGCTCACTTCTCGCTCATCTACCTGCAGAGAGCCGTGGTCGTCACTCACGGCTCCCTGCAGGGATTCCCCCCTCCCCTGTCCGATCCTCCAGCGCTGACTGGCGGAACGGACGGGGCAGGGTACAGCTGGCTCCCTATATACTGAGCTTAGGGTGACGGGAGGACGCTAGTTTGTGTCCTCCCGTTACCCTTAGGAGAACTATGGGGGAAAGCCCTAACCCCATAGTTCTCCTTTTAATGAGTGTCCTTATTCCGGTGTGTCATCTGTGTGAACGGAGCCCGTTGTTTACATCTATATCAATGTGCGTTGAAGCGGTTGGTTGACGATTGCCATTACAATTATTGTTCTAGATTTAAAGCCGACTATAACACACGGGACCCGATAAATTATGATTGGCATTTGTAGAAGATTGTGAAGTGTCACACGGCGCATCTGACTGCGGCTTATCGCATTTCACGTACACCATTGTTGCAGCGTCATAGTTCATTAGGCACAGTAACCGTCATTCTTTCCTCCATCATCCCCCTTGCCGCAGTACTGCACACTCCCATTGCGCCCAATATTGACAAACTCATTTTCTGAAAAAATAGTTTATTTGGCACTTAATTTGCGGTTTTTGAGCAAATTGTTAAACTTTTTTGGGATTTTTTTTACATTTGGAGCTTTAGTCACATCTCAGGCTGGGTTCACAGGAAATGCTAGTAGCCTGGCTCTCTAATTTCCATATTTTAAAGTGAACCTTTGCGTTACCCATGCAGGACGAAGCAACACAATCACATTAATGTTACCCACCTCAGTAGCATGTATTAACTTATCTTGCTCTGTTCGGATGCTTCCGTCAGCTGATGGAACTGAAGTAAAGCCCCATAAATTCAAAAGTCACTGCAGTATCTTAAGCTGGCCATACACCTAAGGATAATCCGTAAATTTTCTATGGTCAGATGGAAAAAGTGCAACAGATTCCTCCATCTACGCTAAACTGTGTGGATGGAGGAATCTCCCGGTGGACTAAGCTTCAGTATCTTGCTAGTCGGCCCCGCTGGCTCTCGCAATACCTGAACAAATCTGATTGGATGCCGGCATTGTTCAGGTATTTTGGCAGCCAGCGGGGCCGACTAGCAAGATGCTCAAGCTTGGGCCAGTGGGGAGATCCCTCCATACACACAGTTTAGTGTAGAACAGTGGTTCTCAACCTCTAGGGCCGGGACCCCTTGGTAGCGTTTGCCAAGTTGTGGTGACCCCCAACGGTAAAATTTGGGGGTGCACCAATACTAGTATTTGTGTGGGCTCTCAGGAGGCCATGCGGGCTCTCGAGTAGCTAGTTGGACACTGGTGGTGCCCAGTGTGGCTCTTTGGTGATCAAGCACTCCTGCCTGCTCCCCTCTCTCAGATCCCCTCCGGGCGCCATTTAGGAGAACTGCCACTGCTGCGCTAGAGGAGGCTAAGGAGTCTTTTATCTAGCAAGGCACATGGCA